CGTCAATTTCCGGTCTTTTCCGTCAATTTCCGGTCTTTTCCGTCAATCATCGGTCTTTTCCGTCAATTTCCGGTCTTTTCCGTCAATTTCCGGTCTTTTCCGTCAATCATCGGTCTTTTCCGTCAATTTCCGGTCTTTTCCGTCAATTTCCGGTCTTTTCCGTCAATCATCGGTCTTTTCCGTCAATTTCCGGTCTTTTCCGTCAATTTCCGGTCTTTTCCGTCAATTTCCGGCCTTTTCCGTCAATTTCCGGCCTTTTCCGTCAATTTCCGGCCTTTTCCGTCAGTTTACGGTCTTTTCCGTCAATATCCGGTACTTTCCGTCAATTTTTGGTGTTTTCCGTCAATCTTCGGTCCTTTCCGTCAATCTCCGTCCCCGTCCCAGTCGCTCCCCGGTCTCTCCGGTCCCCCGGCGCCATGGCCGGGGATCGCCGCTCTCCGCCCGGTCCGTGCTGCCCCGGGCAGGGGGCGATGACCGATCCTTGCTGCTCGGGGCCGGTGGCCGTGCCCAGCGTACACCAGAGCCTGGCCGAGATGGACTTCGAGCGGGGTCCGGTGGGCTCTGGGGGTACCGGCGGGGTGCGCGGAGGTGCCGGTACCGGGAGGGTACGGGGGGGCTCTGGGCAGGAGTACGCGGTACCGGGGGTCCCAGGGCAGCCCCGGAGGTCGGTCCCGGCCTGACCCGGCCCCGCTGCCTGCAGGGATCTGGGCGGCCGCGCGGGACGGGGACGAGCCGCGGGTACTGCGGCTGCTGGAGCGGCGCGGGGACCCCGGAGAGCCCGACCGGGCGGGGTACACGGCACTGGTACGGGGGTCTGGGGGTCCGGGGGTGGGCACACGGCCCTGCTACGGTGGGCACGGGGGATGGCACGGGGGGGCTCAACCTGGCGGGTACACGGCCCCGGTATGGGGGTCCCGGGGGTCCCGACCCCCCTGCCCACTCTCTTCCCCCCTCCCCTCAAGCACTACGCCAGCCGGAACGGGCACCTGGGGGTGTGCCGGGTGCTGCTGGAGCGGGGAGCTCCCTGCGACGCCCGGACCCCCGGTGGGGCCACCCCTCTGCACCGCGCCTGCTACTGCGGCCACCTCGCCGTGAGCCGCCTCCTGCTCCAGCACGGGGCCGACCCCGCGGCCACCGACGGCGACGGGCGGACCCCCCTACACAAGGTGGGGAGGCACGGGGGGGGGAACCTTCTGTCCTTGGCACTGAACAAGGTGGAGGGGTTACAGGATGGAGGGACCCCCTGCACAGGGTGGGAGGGGACAAAGAGGGTCCCCCTGTCCCTGGCACTGCACAAGGTCGGTGGGGAGGACACGGGGGGGGGACCCCCTGCGCAAGGTGAGGGGAGGATACAGGGGGTCTCCTCTCTCACACAAAGGGGGTGGGGGCACAGGGTCTCCCCTCCCATGGCATGACCTGCACAAGGTGGTTGGGGGGCACAGGAGTGTTCCACCTGCATAAGGTGGGAGCTGGGGGTCCCCTCTCCCCCTCAAGGTGGGTGGGGGGCACGGGGAGCCCCCTTTCTCACCCAAGGTGGGTGGGGAGCCTGGAGGGGGGTGTCTCTCTGTCCCTCTGGGAGTCACACGAATGCCCTCCCAGGCAGCTGAGCAGGGGCACCGTGAGCTCTGTGCACTCCTCCTGCGCCTCTGCCCGGCTCTGGCCACACTCCAGGATTCCAGGGGCCGCATCCCGCGGGATGGGGCCCACCCGGACGTGCAGGACCTGCTGGACACTTGAGGGGACACGGGACACCCGGAGCCACCCCAGTGGGACCTCCAGAGGCGTCTCCAATGCACAAACACAGCCTGCGGCACCGACTCTGTCCCCTTGTCACCTGTGCCAGAGGTCAGGGTGTGTGTGGGGGGTCACACCAGGAGGGAGGTGCAGATCCCCCTCCTACCTTCCAGGGACTTTGTTTCCTAAAAAACCCACTAAAAATGTGGAAAACAGTTTGTTGGAACAGTAAATTCTGCGGGAGGTGGGAGGGCTCCTGTGCTTCCCTCTGGGGTGGGTTGGGAGGGAACAGCAGCTGCTCAGGGGATTCTGGGGGGATCCAGATCCCACTGTGGGGGGAGGCAGAGGCAGGAGGGCTGTGGATGGAACCTTGTCCTTCAGTGGTTGGGCACTGATCCTGCTTATCCAGGATCTCCAACAGCACCTTTTCCTCCCTGACCTCAGAGACAACTCTCCACCTTTGTGGGTGCCTAGGTGGGACTTCATGGAATCCTCAAATGGTTTGTGTTGGAAGAGACCTTAAAGCCCATCCAGTCCCACCCCCTGCCACAGGTAGGGATGCCTTCCACTAGATCAGGTTGCTCCAAGCCCCATCCAACCTGGCCTTGGACACTTCCAGGGCTGGGGTGGTGCAGGGTGGTGCCCCCGGGATCCCCCTCCCATCACCAGGCCCCTCGCCCACCGTGAACCACGGCAGAGACCCACGTACAGATATAGACTTTTATTACACATCTGGCAAAAAATCCCTCAAAAAACCCCCAGGAGATAAAATCCCACGGTTGTTTCACAACCAGGAAGGGGGGGGGGGGGATTGGAGAGGGGTAGACCCTGCCCTCTCCCCTCTCTCCCCTCTGGGCCCTACCCTCCCCAAACATACAAATCAAACCTGAACAATAAATAGGAATTCCCAGGGGAGGGGTTAGGGGTTTGCATAGAGGAAGATTTAATAAAAAAAAGGGTTTTTTTTGTCCTGGCTTATTATTATTAATTATCATTATTATTATTAATTATTATTATTCTCTCTAAAAATGTCCCCGCAGAAGGACCTCTAGGAACTGATCGTCAAGACATGATTAACAAAAATAATTAATTAACCTTCTCCCAATAACTTACAGAGTTCAAATCAGGGAACTTGTGCTTTTCTTAGGGGGGGGTCTCCCCCTTTCCCAAAACTAGGAATAAACCCAGAGGAAGAGGGGTCCCGATGGCTTTGGGCGTCCCCCGGTGCCTTGGGAGACACATGACCCCTCCTGCCTGTACAACTTTGGTCACTAGCGCTGTGTCACCCCAAAAAAACCCACAAAATTGGGATCCTGGTGCCTCTCCCTCCCGCCCCCATACCGACCCCTGACCCCCTTCCCCAAGACCCTGAGACCCCCTATGGTGGGGGGAAGGCACCGAAACCCCCCGAGGGGGACTCCAGACTGCTTGTGGTGGAGGGGTCCCAGGGGGCTCCACGCCCATCCCCATGTCCCCGGCCAGCAGGAAAGGGGGTTGGGAATGGGGAGGGGGAGAGGCTGCAGCACAACCAGGGGGTCCCTGACACCAAAAACACCCCAGAGGGGCAGGGACCCCCATCCGGGAGGGGCCTGAGGGGCTGGGACCTCCATCTTGGGGGTCCCAGTGTGGTGTAGGAATCCCAAGGGCTCAGGACCCCCATCCCAGGAGGGTGTAGAAGTCCTCAGGGATCTGGGATGCCCATCCTGGGAGTACCACAGTGGTGTAGGAGACCCCGAGGGGCTGAGATTTCCATCCTGGGACCCCCCAAAATGGTGTAGGATTGGGACCCCCATCCCAGGCTGGTGTAGGAGCCCTGAGGGGCCGGGATTCCCATCCCAGGGGATCCCAAAGAGCTGGGATGCCCATCCCAGGGTCCCAACGTGGTGTAGGAGAGCCGAGGGCCCAGGACCCCCATCCCAGGCTGGGGAACATCCATCCCATGGGTCCCAATGTAGCACAAGAGCCCTGAGGGGGTGGGATGTCCATCCTGGGGGTCCCAAAGAGTCAGGACACCCATCCTGTGGATCTGAAAGGGCCAGGACATCCATCCCAAGGATCCCAAAGGACCAGCCCATCCATCCCAAGGGTCTTGAAGGGCCAGGATGTCCATTCCGAGGATCCCAAAGGGCAGGAACATCCATCCCCAGGGTCCTACTGTGGCAAACAAGACCCCAATGTCCCTGAGCTGTGTGGGTGGTGCTGGCGGTGCCTTTGGTGCCGCCTCCGCCGCTGCTCCAATCAATCCCATAAAAATGAGCCAGCCTGGAAACAGCAGCAAATTCCAGCTCCTCCATTCTTCACTGTGCTGTTGTCACTTCTCCTGGCTCATATTCCAGTGGCAGCCAATTCCTGCCGGGATGGGGGTCCCTGCACCGGGCACGCCCCGGGCCCTCCGGAGCGCGCCGGCGCTGGCCGGGGTCAGACGTTGTTGTTCTCCGTGGAACTGTGGTTGCTCCGGCGGCCCTGGCAGTTCCTGTCGTTCAGGAGGCTCGTGGTCTCATCTGCGGGGGCCGAAGGCTCTGGTCTCTCCGGATTGTCGGGGCCCGGTCTGGGGGAGTTGTTGCTGTCAGGGGACTGGGGACAACTGTCCATGCGGGAGGCCGTGAGGCCGTTCAGGTACTCCTGGCGTGTGATCTGGGCCAGGGAAAAACAGGGATGACGGAGGGATTCCTGGTGTTTCCCTGTTCCCCTTCTCAGTGCTTCCCTGTCCCCAGTGTTCCTGTGTCCCCATTCCTCCTGATCCTGTCCCCATCCCCACCGTTCTGTGCCCACCTTGACGAACTGGAGGTCGGTCAGTGCCCGGAGGCTGAAATCAGCCACGTACTGGTTCCCAGTCCCGCTGAGCTGGTTGGTGCTGCTGCTCACGGCCGACGAGATGGACTCGGAGCGCTCGTGGTTGCTCAGGGAGGCCGAGCGGGCCAGGCCGCTTCCACGGGATGGGGACCGGAATTCTGGGGGATCAGAGGGGTGAGGTGAGACCCCAGAGCCCCCGGAACTGGGAGGGGACTATGGAGCGCTGGGGAGCGGGCTGGGAGCTCAGCCCAGTCACAAGGGGCCAGGACACACATCCCAGGGCATCCCACAGCTGTCTCAGGGCATCCCAAGGGGGTGTAGGAGACCCAAGGGGTCAGGACACCCATCCTAGGACATCCCAAGGTGGTGCAGGAGCCATCTCATCCATGAGGCTCCCCGTGTGGCTGCTCAAGGACCCCGAAGCTGGGGCAGTGGGATTCAGCCCAGGTGTCCCTGAGGACACGCTGCTCAACCCAAGGGGCACCAATGGGGCTCGGAGCCTCCAGCATCTCCCACCTGCAGCCCTATCCCAGGGAGTATCCCGAGGGATCAGGGGCTTCTCACCAGATCCAGGAGGGGGGCTGAGGGCCATCACCCCGTAGTAGGTAAACGGTCCCGCCTCAAACTTCATGCACTCCTTGCCAGCCTCCACCTCCACCTTGCCCTGCCAGGCGGAGACATTCCATAATCCACATCCTTAAGGAATGAGACCCCTCCCCTCCCCACAGCATTCCCAGTGGAATGGAGGCCCTCAGGAACCCTCCAAACCTGCAGGATGAGGATGAAGTAGTCAGCAGGCTTGTTCTTGCAGTACAGGTAGTGCTGGGGGGATTTCTTGTCCTCCTCATTGAACTTAAGCTCCTGGATGACGTCAGAATATCCAAGGAGCCGCAGCAGGATCTTCTCCGACATGAGGGTAGGGCTGAAAAGTGGCACCTCTGGGAGAGGGAAAAGGGGTCACACACGGTTTTTGTCCTTCCAGGGCCAGGTACAACCTCCCCATCCCTTGGGATGGTGCCTGGGATGGAATGGGCTCCAGCAACAGCTCCCTCCGGGAGAACCCACGGATCCAGCTCCAGGTCCCCAGCAAGGGCATTCCCTTGGGAACAGGATCATCCTGGAGTTGCCCCCCACCCCCAGAGGTCCCCAGCTTTGGGAATAGGATCATCCTGGAGGTCCCCAACAAAGCCATCCCCAGCCCTGGGAACAGGATCATCCCAGAGGTCCCCACCCAGATCATCCCAGGGGGACAGGGCCCTGTCAGAGGCAGGTCTGGCATTCCCAAACCTCATCCCTTCCCATTTGGGGGGGGGGGGGGGGAAACAGAGCAAAGGAAAGCAGGACAAGACCCATCATTTCCCCATGAGATGGTTGGAGCAACTCCTTGGAGTCTCCAGGGCCAGAGCTGGCATGGGGGACACGGGGACACACCGAGCCCATCCCGGGTTTCCCTGAGTCACAGGGAGCTCCCCCTTCCCAGAACTCACCAGTCAGGAGGAACCTGTGGGCAGCCAAGAGGAGCTGAGGGGATACCTTGACCTTTTGCTCGCTGACAGGGTCCTTGAAGGCCGAGAAGTCCCTCCTGTTCTTCTGGTTGGTCACACGCTTCCGGCTGCGGTTGTCGACTGTGGGGGGCAGGAGTCAGCTCTGGGGGGAATGGCAGGACCCCTGGCACGGGGTGGAGGGAGGATCGGTCCAGAGTGGGTGGGAACAGCCCATGGGGGAACAGGAGCAGCCTATGGGGGGACAGGATCTCCCCATGGAAGGACAGGATGATGGGAACGGGGGGAGCCCCAATACCTACTGTAGGTGTCAGACTCATCCAGGATCTCGGACTTGATGATCTCCTCGATCACATCCTCCAGGGTCACCAGCCCCAGCACCTCGTAGAAGGGATCCCCCTCCCCCTCGTTGTTCACCTTCTGCACAATGGCCAGGTGGGATTTCCCTATGGATAGACAGAGATGTTGGAATGGGAGACACCTCAACACCCTGGGATGTCCCTGGGCCCGGCCCTTCCCTCCCCAGAGCAATAAACCAGTTCAAATCTAACAATAAACCAATTAAAACCTAAACATTAAACCAGTTCAAATCTAACAATAGACCAGTTAAAACCTAAACCAGTTGAAATCTAAACAAGCCCTTGGGCCGGGCTTGGCTCCCAGGGTAATGACACTAATTAAACCCAGGATGGTGATTAAGGCTGGGACTGAGGCACCCTCCAAGCTGAAGTACCTGGGAGCTGCCTTGGGATGTGGGATTGGCCAAGGGCATCCCAGGGGATGGGATGAGACAAGAGCAACCACTTCAGCACCACCACGGCCACCAGGAATTGTGTTTCACCCAGAATTCCTTTCCCAAATTCTTTGGCAGCTCTTCCAAGCTGATCCTATCCCAGAGGAAACACTCTGGACACCTGGTG